AAGTTTTGCACTTAAAAGAAATAATATCAACAGTGGTGGGTAGGGGTTTTGGGAAGCAAATCTAATAGATGCATCTAGATTTGGCTGAGAATGAAAAGAGCATTTTCTTTCCACTGGTTGCTGGCTAGTAAAAGCAAAGGGGTGGAATACATCCAACTTGCAAAACTTGAATACAGTTACTGCTATCTGCAAATGGGTGCCCCTCCCCGCTCATGTGAGCTACACAGGCAAAAGAGAATGACACATGTGCTGTTTCCTTTTCCAGTTGTAAAGGGGTCAGGAGCCAGGCAAGGAGAGCCCGAACAAGAGGAGCATTTTCCTAGGCTCTTCCAGCTGTTCTGTTCAATCCCGCCGTCGGTTCTGAGCAGGGAAGAGAGACTGTCAACACAAATAAGGCATTTTTCAAAGGCGTAAATTATGAGTTACCAAAACAATACGACATCTCAACCACGTGAGTACCCTTATCCTCCCCCCTTTGCAATAAGAGTGGATTTATCAGTCTGCCTCTTAAGGAAAAGATTGTCTAATGTGTTTCTTATGAAAAAAAAAAAGAAAAAAAGAATGCTTGAGACTAACCCTGAAGAAAAAAAAGTTGTGATGAAACTGTTTTCCTTTTTTATTCTTTGTGTTTGTATGCGCGTGTGTGTGTGAAGAACTGAAATGGGCTCTGCAAACTCTGGCTCCTGAATAGGACCGAGCAAAGTTAGTAACGTTTCCGCCTAAAGCCTCGCTTAGAAAAGTTTCATCTGAATGTTTTTCCCTCCCCCCGCCTTCAGGAATGAAAATTTAGAGCATTTCGAAAGCATACTGACGCTTTTCTAAGATATTAATGGTGCTGCCCAACTTGTATTCAGAGTCTCAAGCTGTCTGTGTGTAATATGAGACGCAAGCCACAAACTGACAGTCTATATATAAAGCCACAATGCATTTCTGCCCCTGGAAATTTAGAAACGTGGGCTTAAGGACAAGCAAATTAGTTTCTCAGCAAGAGAGGGTACAGGAGGGCAAGTCCTCTGCTGGCGTAACTCTGCATATTTCAGTAAATTTAAAAGAGAGAATTTGGCCTGAAGAGTCAAGTGAGTACAGAGGCTCAGCTGCAGCATGGTAGCATTCATTTTGGGACAGCATTAAAAAGAAAGTGGAGAGGAAGGGGGTGGATTCTGACTTGATAAGCTGAGAAAAGTCAATGGGAAAACTCCGAGTTTTCGGTGCTGCAATAGCTCCATATCTCTTTTATGGCTTTAGTATAATCTTTCCTGTTTTAATTCAAGACAGATGTTTTATATTATTTTTAATAGACAAACTGCTGATAGCAGAATTGTTTATCATACCATGGTATCAGTAATGAAGGCAGAAAGTACAGACAGCATTACTGGGAGCAGCCTGCGATTCAGGATTTGATCCAGGGATTGCTGTAAGAATATTTGTTCTGTATGGATGTTGACACTGAAGATATTTCCCAAGCTTTGAATGAGGCAGGCTGATCCAGCAGAAATGACACAGTGAGCAGCATCTCTGGAATCCCAACCAGCAATTTCTGTTTACTCTTTAGTCCTTTCTGCAAGTTCTAACAAACAAGAAAGATTAGATGCTAGCTTTATACTATATTTTGTTCTATTTTATTCAACAGTTTAGAATATTATAGCTTGTTTTCTATTGTTTCTATTGCAGGTTTTTTTCTATTATTGATAGGAAAGAAACGTGCAGGCTAATTCAGGATTCTGAGAGTTTGGGTTTGGAAAAGCTTGAGTAAATTACTGTCATGGGCACTCTCCAAGCATGTGCAGGAGGGTGGTCATGACTCATTGAGGTGCATTTTCCTCATTGTGCCGTATCAACAAGGGACCAGACCCAATCTTGTGTCTTTAGTGACAGGCTTGGCCAGGTGACAAGTCTAGGACCAGCTCTACAGTCCTGAATACATTAGAAATCACTTTTCTGACAGACCTAGATTGTCAGAGGACCCCACAGAAGGCTCTAGGGTGGATCTGGATGAGGAGTTAGTAACCCATGCAGCCTTTTGTCTGTTCATAATGAAAAAAGACTGATGCATCAGGTTGTCTTGTTTTTTCCAAAATCTAGGCAGGAATTCTCAGCTTAAATCATTTTAAGATCATATGATTGCCAGTGAATATAAATGGCTTGTAATCTAGCTAGAAGAAGTATTCTGACTGAAAAATGGTGACTATCTACTCTTTATTTGCTGTCATAATTTCCCTTACTTATTCAGACAGGATGTTCCTGTATTTTGTTTCAGTCTGTCTTTGTTTTTCTTTTTTAAATTACGTGGATCAAGTTTACAGATTAAGAACAAAATATAATTAGAGGGAAGTCTGATAGTACTGTATTCCTGTATAATGCAAGTTTGGTACATTTTTTTAATAGTGGTTGAGGTTTCGGAGGTAGGTCTTGGGGAATAGGGTCTTGTTTCTTAGTAAAATTCCAACAATTTTTGCAAGAAACAAGATATTGAAAGATCAGTGTATTGACAGGCACTGCACAGCATGGACAGCAGATGTTTGCCAGAGAGGTAGAGTAATTGGGAAAAGAAATTTGCTTCATAACCATAGTGAAAATCTTTGAAATGGGTGTGAAAATGCATAAAGAATCAGCAAAAACCTTTGACTATACTGAACATACTAATTCTATGCTGAGTACCTGCAGGTGAGACCACAGAGCAGCTGCCTACTGATGTAAACTGAACGCTGTTAAGTTACCTAATTGCTCGTGTTCTTTGCTTATCTCCTTGTATTCGCTCGTGGCTGATAAGGAATTTTTATTCATTCTATGAATACAGTATGATCCTGGCAATCCAGGTGGGAGCAGACTACTGTTTCAGATTTAAAATATTCAACCCTGTGAACCCTGTAAATGTATTCTGCCTCCATACGGGCATGCCATACCATCTAACCTAGGGCAATTCCCATGCCCTGCTCAGATATCCCGTCGCTCTGAGTGGGCTCTCTGAATACTCAACAGAGAGGCAAGAGAGCCAGTAATTCAGCCTGCTGATGTTAGGCAGTGTGTGCATATTTACTCCATAGTTCATTGTTAATGGACATCTGTGTGTGGCTGGAATAAAATGGAATACCTAAGAAGTCTGCTACCAAAGCCAAAAATGGAGTTGGGCTTGAATTTCATTGGCTCAGATTCAATACAATATTGTGCTGTGAATATAGCTCCAGTTTCTTTTCTCTTCTTCCTCTTCTTACGATGATGATAATGATGTAAAAGAGACCTAACCTGACTGCAGGAATGTGAACTTCCTGATTTTTAAATGCATCACTTTTAAATGCATCACCTTCTGCTCAGATGTACAGGCAGTAGCTGCCTGACTTATTACAAAATCTGAGGAATTTCACAGGTTTGGCAATCTCTGTTCAGACTGCAGCTTTTGCCCTCTTCCTTTTAGACTGCACTGACCCAGTTCTGAGGCAATGGGACAGCTCAAATGAGGTGAAGGACTCACGCAAATAAACGTCAACAGGTTGAAGGTTCAGTCTGGGGAGGCAGTGATCCATGAAAAACCATCTCTGGACGTCAAAGGTGTTCATCTCCTTGGAGAAGGTGCTCTGCACCTTACAGGATTTAATTGTACCCAGCATGTTGGGAATGTTTTATTTCGGGCCTCTTATACTCCAAATGCCAGCTGTCAAAGGAATTAGTGATTAAGGAGAGCCGTTTGTGGAGGTTTCTCTTCCTCCTCCTCTCCCAGCAGATAAGGTCTTCCTTCTGGGTGGGTAGGGAAGCAATGAGGTCTGTGCTATGTGGAAGATTTGGCCCAAGAGGAAACCAGAAGGCAAGGCTAGACTTCAGGCCATGCCCCAGCTGCAGAGAGAGGAAGAGTGTCAGGAATAGGGTGAAGGAAAGAACGCCTTGTGAGCTGTATGCTTTCCATCTGCATTGCCAGCTGTAGTTCACCAGCAGCCGAGGTGCAAGCCCTGCCCTGCTCAGGGGGAGCAGACCCTGGTGTTGCCTCTGTCCCACAGGCAGGAGGTCTCGGCTCCATTGTGACCAACTTTTCCACCTGCCAGAATGACAGCTAAGGCTTCTGGCAAAAAGAGTCAAGTATGTGTGGGCTGTCTCCTCCAGAGAGGCTGAGAGCTTGGCAAAGGTGGCCCCTGATAAAGGCAAAGTGACTTACAGCTGTGAATAGCAAGTCTGGTTCTGAGAACAGCCCTGCCCTATCTTTAACTCATTATGAGAGATATTTGGGGGCTGCAAACTGGTCCTTTAAATGTTCCTGCAGCAATACCACTTACCTTTCACACAGGGCCTGTGAAAAGCCTCAGATGATCCCCATGGACTTTTAATCATGTTACTCACTGCCTTGGCAATAGATTTGATTTCATTGCCCTTAATCAACAGAAGCGCTTGTTTGTGACAGTAACTAATAAACAAAGATGGAGGCTATTGATTATGAAAATTATGGTCTTCACTGTAAACCTGTGAGCATTTATAAGCAAGGAAACCTATAGATTATAATAACCTCTCATTTTTAGCACAGAAGTCTCAAAACATGTCCCACAAGCATTTATGTAAATTGAATGCCTCTGCTTGTATATTTGTCTCCCATCACTGTGCATATGAATTGGAAAATTTGGCTTTATACCCCAGGGCTCTCCCCAACACCCTCATTGCCTGAGATGTTGATGTGAAAGTCTGCAAATTGAAAGGCTCAGAATGCACCTGAAATTTTAGTAATTAACAGCAGAAATGTTGGCAAACCACTAAGCTGGAGGGAATGGGGGAGATGTCTATGCAAATAGGAGCCTGCTTTTTTAAAATACACAGTTCGCAGCATTTCTGGGCACTGCTTTTCACAAAAAAAAAAAACACAACCCCAAAAAAAAACCAGTAGATGTTAAAGATTCAGGTTATGGCTGGTTATGTGTTTAAGCCTATTAATATTACAGAATTGTGCGGTGTCTGCATCTCACTGCTGATACTGCTGCACCTTTCTTTCTAGGCTTTTGTGGAACACACCCTGTATCCATCACTGTTCAAAAGACTGAGTCCAATCAGCAAAGCCTTTTGTAAAACAGGCTTTTGGAACTGCATTCTCTAATGAAAGTCTGTTTGTGTGTCTGCTCTGTGGAGTGCCTGTCTCTATTGTTGGGGAGAGATTAGTATTCCTATAGCATAGAGAAATTCAAGCCAACAGAGGAATCTGATTGTGCTAGGTGCTGTACAGGCACCCTTTCTTCAAAAGGCTGGTAGACTTCACAGAGAGGACAGATTACAGGTAGGAGAGAAATGACTGCTTTCCAGGGTCACTGCTGGAGAGGCAGCTTTTGGCTATGGGAAGGCATTTATAGCAGCCACAACACAGGAGTTAGTATTGATTCCAGTAGATCCACTGGGGCAACAGCTCTTTGCTTCCCACTCTCTAATTTTGTAATGCATGCTTAAGAAAAAAACGTAGCTCAGTAGTCATTTAGCAACTGGACT